TAGACAGACGGCAGAGAGAACTGGGATGCATAGGGAGCTAAATTATTCACACATAGATGTGAACTGCTAATACTTAACTGTAAAAAAATATGTTGTAATATGAGCCTAGGGCTGCATGATATTGGAAAAAACCAACTGCGATGTATATGCGATATTAAAACAAAACTGGAATTTTAAACAGATGATTAGTAAATTTTAAGCTATACCGCACACTGCAGTCTAGTGGATATTTAACCCATGGTGTTTTACATGGGAAGTTAAACACATTCTTATGGGTCAAATCAGTGTTTTTGATATATGACACAATAATGACCAACATATAAATGTGTGTGTGAATGGGTTAATGGCTGATTGGATTGTAAAGCACCTTGGGTGGTTGTAGAGCCATAGAAGACACTATAATTACAACCCTTTCACCATGACTGTCAACAATCTAAAGATGTTTGTCAAACCACCCAGAAATGCTCACAGCTCCAAGCTTCATATCAGTGACAGAATAAAGACAACTCAAAACCCACAAGGGTCTAATTAATCTACTCCAATAAAATAGTTATTCCACATCGAGTCTGATAACCCAACATTATACAGGTGAAATATGAAAACAGAATCTGAGGCAAAAGTTCATTTATGTCAGTAATTCTACTTAAAAGGTGAAGCTAATATATGAGATGGACTCACTCCATTAAAGCCAGAAACTTCAAGTCTTTATTTGTTATAATTGTGATGATTATGGCTTACAGTTTATAAAAACTGCACATTCAAAATCTCAGATAATCAGAATATTGTGAAAAGTTCAATATTCTAGACTCAAAGTGTCACACTCTAATCAGCTAATGAATCCAAGGGTTCCTGAGCCTTTAGATGGTCTCTCAGTCTAACCTGAATTATTGAAATAAATGGACTTTTGCACCATATTCCCATGTTTCCAGTTTCACCTGTGTACCACTGAAAACCTTTAAAATGTCCTTAATTCGTCTTTCCTACTGAACTTTCTTCATCACCTCCAAGTGCCGCCCCCATTCTCACATGTAACTCCAGTTATGACACGGAACGTTGTTAATTGATGCATCAAATAGCCAATGAAATTAGGAAATCAATTCTAAACAACCCTTTGAAATCCAATATCGCAGCAGGAACCTGAAATGTGACTATTGCACACGTATAAATTGTGATGCTGGAGCTCAATCGTACAGCTCTTTACCGGCCATTACAATATCTAAAACAATGGGCGGTATATTGAGTCCAATCAATGTGTCACCCAGCCCTAAACAGGACTTTGTTCCACTTATACAAGCATTTCTCCTGTTGCCTACTTTAAACAGATTTCACTGAACCGCATAAAAATTTACATTTACGAAACTTTTCAGACCACATTTTGGGTTACATTATTATTTCAAAGGAAAAAAGTAAGAAACTCCTGGTGGACTTGCCCCTTTGACGCATCAAGAGTGCTACTGTTTGCTGGTGGTGGTTTTTAATGTGACAACAGTTTCTGAAACCTTCAAACAGCTGGTTTATTACAGCTTTAAGAAGTGTGCCTAATATTGCTAAATGGAACCTCTCTAGAGTAAAGAAAGGCTTCTAAGGAGGGGAAACAAAGTCTATCAGCTTGTTATCAGTCTTACCATTAAATGGCCCTTTAATTAAAAACAGGAGCTAATGAAGACACTCGGGAGTCTGATTAGCAGTTAATGCCCCTTGCTGTGAGCTTATGCCCACCCCGGACCCCACCCACCCTCTTTAAAGCTCCACTGAATCATACACAACTCTCTCTCTGAAACCAGAAACCACAACAGTGAGCACAGCAATAACAGAGCACCACCTTGGGATTCACAGCTGTCTAATGAAGCTCTGACTGACTTCAATCACATCCAAGTTTAGTAAGTGGGCAAACACAAGAGCATATTAGTTCAAAAATGAACCAAATGTCTTAAAAATGGTTGAAGGAGCCAGCTTCTAAAGCCAAGAGAGGCCTCACTCAGTCAGACAAAGCAAATTGGATCAATCCACATCCTCATAGCACACGTTCATCAGTTTTTCATTGATTTCCTTTGTCAGCTAAATCAGAAGTGAGCCAGTGGAGAAACATACATGTGTCGGCTGAAAGCTCATCAAGGCGCGGGCAGTAATTCAGCCATCCATGGCGAGGTAGACAATGTGCAAATCTCTCTAAGTCGGTTTTGTTTGGGATATGCTAATCCCTCGGCCTCCGCGCTGCAGCGCGAGCATGAATCTGAATACATTAAAACTCCGCTGTGGGGACGTTAAGCTGCTAAAGGCGGTACATTAATAAGCTTCCTGTGAAACTTTCACCCAAGGTTGTTCAAAGTGTTTCACTGTGGAACTCTCAGAAGTCCACTGATGTTCCACAGGCACATCTAATAAAATCTGCCGCTTTCATCTTCACAGGGAATACCTACACTAATATATACCAAATACACACATTCATGGTGGCAAGTTTCAAAAGGCCCGTATACTTCTTTGGGTTTTCCTGAGGACCTTTGTAGAACTTTAGGAAGTAAGTTTAAAGTACCAGTACACAGTATGTCCACAAGCCTCACTTGCCTGTATTGGCCTGTAAATGGCCTGTATTTGATATAGCGCCTTCTAGAGTCCTGGAACCCCCCAAGGCGCTTTACAACACAATCAGTCATTCACCCATTCACACACACATTCATTCACACACTGGTGGGGATGAGCTACAATGTAGCCACAGCTGCCCTGGGGCGCACTGACAGAGGCGAGGCTGCCGAGCACTGGCGCCACCGGTCCCTCCAACCACCAACAGCAGGCAACGTGGGTTACGTGTCTTGCTCAAGGACACAACGACAGCGTCAGACTGAGCGGGGCTCGAACCTGCAACCTTCCGATTACAGGGCGAGCACTTAACTCCTGTGCCACCATCTCCCCACTCCTTCCTGGAGGTCAGCATCAGCACCGGGCACAGAAAATTCCAGCTGACGCTTGTTTAGTGACTCAGACGCAAAACGTCTCACCAGACTCGCAAAAGATGAACGTTCTTTTAGTGTCTTGATGGTTTCCTCTTTAAAGAGACACAATGCAAATGTTCTTGTTTTTAAATGATCTTATTGAGCCAGTCTGTGCTAAAACGACCCTTTACAGGGTTAATGAATGTTACTCAGACCCCATCGCCCCCTGTGGCCAGAATACCACTAAAACCTAATGAGACATTTCAGCGGTTAGATTAAGGTGTCAAAAAGACGAACACACAGCAAGTTTCGTTTTTGGTTTAATCACGGTGACTTATAAAGGATACTAGAGGGCGCTAAAAGCAAGCAAACTTGAGCCCTGCACTGAAGCCCGAGGGCCCTCGGGTCGGCCCGGCCTGACAGCCCTCGGGCCGGGCTTCGGGCCAACGACTGTGTAATTACCTCGGACACGGGCCGGGCGCCATTATTTTTAATCGAATTCATAAAAAAAAATTGAAACACTTAAACCAGGGGTCGGCAACCTGTTCCCATCAAAGAGCCATTATTACCCGTTTCCCACAGTAAAGAAAACACTGGGAGCCACAGCAGCCGCGGCGTTGTGGGCGGGGCCTACCCTCAGACAGCAGAGAGCTGTTTTAACCAATCACAACAGGTGACAGCAGCCGGTACCGGTCGCTCGTGTACGTCAAAGTTATCTTTCATAAGACGATAATCAATAAAACGATTTATATAAAATGGATCCAGAAGTTGTAGCCCGTCTCTGCCTACAATATTTTGATACTGACATGTTATTCTACGCACATCGCAGATGTAGCTAAATCACACAAGAAAAGATTCCCATCTGAACATCTGAGCTGGACACCGCTCAGTGCAGCTCGCTGTCAGCATGTACTACATAAGGTACACAGCAAGCTGAAGATGTGGAGAGGGGCTTGGAGCGCGTCGCAGAACCAGAGCGCATGCGGGAAGATTCCTCCGACTGAATTCAGTCGGAGGAATCTTCCCACTGATCTGAATCTGATGCGGCTCTCTGTGCTTGTAAAATAATGAATGGATATTTAAATAAAATGCTTTATATTTTACTGAATTTATTTTATATCTGTAAGTCAATTCTATGTAAAGATTGTCTGCGTAAACCTGAACAGGCCCAACCGGTCTTACTGTGAGACCGGGTTGACGCGTCACGCTTGTGAGTAATCATATCGGCGCTTTCTGAGCTGAAGAGGATGTGAGATTCTGGGCTTCTCCTCAGACGGCTCCTGGATGTGTCGCCACATTGGAGACAAGAACAAGCACTATTCAGCCAAAGTTTCATAATCAGGGAACATTTTCTAAATGACAAGTCTCTCTGAGAGACAGGGTTTGGAAAACACTCGCTTCAGTGGGAGGAACCTTCCCGCATGCGCTCTGGTTCTGCAACGCGCTCCAAGCCAATCTCCACATCTTCAGCTCGTTGTGCACATATGCGCTGACAGCGAGCTGCGCTGAGCAGTGTCCAGCTCAGATGTTCAGATGGGAATCTTGTCTTGGGTGATTTAGCTACATCTGCGATGTGCGTAACGAATAAAATGTCAGTTCGTCTGCATGCGTCGGGGTAATTCCTTCTATTCTTTCTCCGTCAAAATAAACGGTCAAATACGGGAACTGTCCGGTCAACACAAGCCCTACTTTTAACTGTTCTGTTTTCTTGTGAAAATTGTTGGAAAGAGATAAAATTTAACTTGATTACCACCAGAGCCAGTGCGCCGTTATCTCCGTGACGGTAAATGAGGGAAAAACAAATTGATCGGATCCTGCACGTCTTTTAACACATTGGTCAGGACTGACGCACTTTGTTTTCACTTAGTTGGATCAAAAAATGTCGGGCTCGGGTCGGGCCAGAGAATCCTGAAAACCTTTTCGGACCGGGTCGGGCTGGGGCTCCACCCCCTCGGGCCGGGCCGGACACGGGCTCAGATTTTAGGCCCGTGCAGGGCTCTAAAGCAAACTGCCAAGTATCCTTTTAACAACAGGATTTGCAAATATAAAGAGTATAAAAGACCTCCGTACCTTCCAAAAGTTGTCAACTTTTCCGTAGACAAGTGACTGATTCTGCCTCTTAATGTCGTCGATGTGCTTGATGTCGCTAGCGTTAAGGTGCTGCTCCACCACAAAGCCCAGGAAACTGTTGTCTGGGGTGTGAGCTGTGAAAGAAAGAGAAGAAAAGACCGTTTCTTAAAGGGTGAGAAAGAAGTCTGTCTCATAAACAATAAACTGACGTCATAAAGGAAGACACATCAGAGTTTATCTCAGACACATCAGAGTTTATCTCGGACCATAACTCCAATGGAACCAGATCAACGCGTCATCACTTTACAAACGGTTTCTCCTCTCTTCGATTCTGTCTGCCGAGCGACTGTTACTATGGCAACCGCAAGGCGAGCGGGCCGAGTGTGGAACCCAAAACTGGCAGCGCTTTACTCCTCCACCATCTGTCTTGTAAAACAAATCTGCGGACAAGGGTTTGGAGTGCAGTCAGAGAGCAGAGGGAAACGGCTTATTAATTTCATTTGAAACCTCAGGGATGCGGGGGAGCAAACGCCTCCGTCAGCCCTGGAAGAAACGCGCTGAATGAAGGGAGGTGTGTTCGTGCACAGCTGTGGGTTTTCACAGCAGCTCTGGGGAGCTGCTGCGGTTCGTTTTGCTTTTAAACATTATTACCAGAGAGGCAAGCTGGGGTCGGTGAGAGGGAGAAACTACCACTGGGCGAGACATAAAAGGTAGATCTCAGCAGATTCCTAAACAACTGAGACTACATCGTGACAAAGATATTTTATGTAATGACATAAGAATCTTGAATAAAGTAATCTCAACTTTGCTTACTCTCATTGTTGATCACCGCTTCAGTAGATGAGCAAATAACCTCCATGTGTTGAGTGTTTTTTTTGGTCAGGGTGCTGGCCGCAATTCAACAGAACAGTCGGTGTTTGCTCTCTCCAGGCAGTCCACATATTGGCTAAATACCTTCAGGCAAACACTTAAAAGGAAAACAGGAGCAAACTGAGCTCTGTGCTGAGCCAAGTTATTACTCACTGGTGTCTGAACTGGGCCCTCTAAGAACTTGATCCATATCACAATGAAAAACCCCAAAATATTTTATCTCTGGTTTCCATTACACCAGTGAAACATTTCTACTTGATAATTTATTATTTTTCTTCCAAACATTGAACAAATTACAACTGAACACTGTTGTCTTTTTATTTAAATCTCATTCTCGTGAAGAACCTCCAAACATCAGAACACAAGAGGCTTTTGCTGAGCTGAGCACCAATGGGTCACTTTGCATAGTGTGTGTGTGTGTGTGTGTGTTTGTGCATGTGGGTGTATGTGGGAGAGAAAAGAAGAGGAGCAGGAGTAGCTGCAGTGAGGATATCAGCAGATGTGTGTAAGGTGTTTGTATGGATGGGAGGAAAAATAGAACCAATGTCACAGAATATGGGCTCTCAATTGGAAAGAAACAAAAAAAATCTTATTACGTTTTGGAAAATATAATTATTCAGCTTCTTTCTTTCTTTTTCTCAAAATGAAATAAAGAAGGGGTGGGAAAGTGGTAAATTGTTGGTATAGTTAATTTCCTAATAGTTTACAAAAGACTTAGAAATTAGAAATGTATAATATTTATATTTTGACCTAGCATGTGTAGGTACATGGATAGATAGTAATGACAAATGTCTGGATGACTGAGGGTGGGACGCACAGCAGATAGATGGATGGTTGATGGGATGGTTGGATAGATGGCTCGTTATAAAGACTGATGGATGAGCGCTTGGTTTTATGGCTGGATAGATTTATGGTTGGCTGGATTAGTGGACAGATAGTTGGATGGTGCTATGGATGAAGAGTTGGTTGATTAGATGAGAGAATGTTGGGTGGTTGGTGGATTGCATGGATTAATGGTTGGTTTTATGGATGGATGCAGTTGGACTTGATATTAGAATAACATTCAATTGTTGTGTGGTTCAATGTTACAGAGGCAATATCAGCTGCGATACAGCGTTATGATTTCCTTTTTTGTTCTTTCATCAAAGCACTCAACCCTGTCTTTACCACTCCAACCACTCTAATCTAAACTAGGTCGGCGCACCAAGAGCAGGAAGGATGGTCCAATTCTTTGTGACACTGATGCTGAAGTGACGATACATATCCCATCTATTTTGCAGCCATAGAAAACTCCAAACATGATATTACATTAAAAAATCTGTTAAAAAGACAGACCCATTCGTTTGGTTACGTTTCCATAGACTCAGTTCAATATTCAGATGAACACAAGAAACTCAGCTGTCTTTGTAATGCGAAAGAGGCCGATGTGGATTCGAGGAGAACAAAGATGCTTCGCCAACACTCGAGTAGCAAACTGACTGTGTAAACAGGACAGGCTGGTAATTAGTGCTCAGCCCTCTTGATGCATTTGGCAACAGATGCCTCTTCTCCCACTAGAGCCGCCACTCAAAGTGTCACTCAGCTCACCGCAGCTTCAATCACTGTTAGCTAACAAACAGCCTGGGAGGACAGCGCTGCTGGAGAAGCAGCTGCTTGGTTGCTCTTGATCAACTCACGAGTCGAGGGAAAGATTAGCCTTGTAACAAAGCCTGAAGTCATTGTTTCAGACTACGATTCACTGCTGGAACAACCTGGTCAGGATTCGTCTCTCCGGTTAGAATCAGAAGCAGTCAAATGGAGTGGCTTTTTCAAGGATAATGTCCATCTTTGTGTTAAACTTTGCAATATGCTAACCTATGGTCGTGAGCTTTGGGTAATGACGGAAAGAACGAGATCGTGGATACAAGCGACAGAAATGTTTCCTCCGTAGGGTGGCCGGGCTCAGCCTTAGAGATAGGGTGAGGAGCTCAGACATTCGGGAGGGTCTCGGAGTAGAACCGCTGCTCCTCCGGATCGAAAGGAGTCAGTTGAGGTGGTTTGGGCATCTGGTCAGGATGCCTCCTGGACGCCTCCCTGGGGAGGTGTTTCGGGCATGTCCTGCTGGCAGGAGGCCCCCGGGTCGACCCAGGACACGTTGGAGAGGTTACATCTCCAATCTGGTCTGGGAACACCTTGGGGTCCTGCCGGAGGAGCTGGTGGAGGACGGTCTGGAGCTCCCTAGTTGGGATGCTGCCCCCACGACCCGGACCTGGATAAGCAGAGGAAGACAACGACGACGACGAAGATGCTAACTATCCACCCTGAAGCACCTTTAATTCAGAAAGTATTTTCTAACTATCAGATTGAAGCAATTTTAAAATAGCCCAAATATGACATAAAACTAAGATTCTATTATGGCTTTTGGTTTAGGTGCCACTCCAAACACATCAGTAACACCATCTGGGTCCACTTCAAAAACATCTGGAGGCTTCCTAGAAACGATCAAATGTATCTTTAGTCTTGTTGGAATTTTTGATTTGAAGCAAGCGAAATTCAGCTAGAATAAATAATATTTAGGTGTATCAAGTTATGTTGTTCTTTTGAGGTTTTATTTAGCTCACTTTAAGAACTGATGTGTCCAAGTCCTGATTTTAAAAATAGCTGAACCAAAAACGTCAAGTTTCCTTTCCACATTGACTGAACAATGCTGGAGAACTCAAATAAAAGATTTGTTAAACTAAGCAGTCAGTAAAGTAAAACAGCAATAGATCCCACTGGGCTGATTATAAACAACAGAAAAGGGTGTGCCGGGTAAAACCAGACAATCAGACTCATTAATACAACTTCCAATACTCCGTTGTACAGTTAGTTCAACCTCTGAGATGCTTTATTCTTGTTTTAAAAACAAAAAGCATGGAAAGTTGCTGACATTTTCAAAAATGATCTGATGTGATAAACTTGTTCAGGAGCTGATGAAACTCAGTAAATCAGACCTGACAGGTGTTGGGCTCAAACTGTGATGCAGGAACAAAGACAGAGAGACTAAGACTCGACGCCCAATCAAACACCCAACAGTAGAAAACACTTGTGGTGATCCAAACTCTTGACACTAACTAATGGGCTCCATTCAGCTCTGTCTTGTCTACTGAACCATTGGCACACCCCCACCCCAAATCCCCAACAATGACTTACGGAGCGGAATCTAATTGTAACTAATGGACCAATCCAAATCAGGAACTATGGTTGCCACGATAACTGTTGTAGCGGTAAATCCCGGTAAAAAAGTTGACAATAATAATAACCGTCTTGTTTTTTAAAAAAAAAAACATTATCTCGGTGGATTACCGTGGCTGCGGTGTAGGCGCGGTGACCCTTACCAGCCACCGTATCATCTGCTGAAGTTGCCGGCGGCACATGCACGCTTTGTTGTTTACAGCCAAAACTTTCTTGAAGATAAAGCTGAAATAACGGCCAAAGGAGGAAACGGCAGCGCTCAGGAAATGTATTATCCCTCAAAGAAGACAAAGTCGGAAGTACGGACATTTTATGGATATTTAAAGAATGCCGAGGGAGAGTTGATAGAAGACGGCTATCCTGTTTGCAGCACGTGCAGAAAAAGTGTCTGTGAAAGGCAGCAACGCTTCAAATCTCATGACACATCTGCGTGACCATCACCCACAACTCTACAGTCAACGCAAGGCAAGCTAACGTTAGCGTTTTAGCTAAAATGCGTGATCCGAGGATTTGGGTTGAGGGAGAATGCAACGAGTCGCTATATAAAGCAGCCGCAGCGCCGCTACCTGTATATAAACCGTGTCGGGGACACCCCCATGTTGAAATGACGCTATGCATTACGGGGCTCCCAGGGGCAGATAAGAGTTGGTCTCTCTCCGAGAATAATTCTGAATTTAACAACGATTACTGTCTGATGACATTTTCCCACATCTGCAAAGCTCACTGGAAGGACACAAACCGAGGACAATATTTTCCTGATATAGGGTTTATTACTCAAGTAAGGGTAAAAAAGTATCTGATTAGAAGGCTACTTGAGTACTGAGTATCATCTGATCTAATATTTTTAAAATGATGACATCAAACAGACAAAAAATAAGAAGTTATGGGCAAATATTGGTATTTTAAAGATTAAAGGGGAAAAATGTAAACAAACAACATAATTACAAAATAACACATTTTGGGCAAAATCTAGACACAAACTGAGGACAATAATTCCTGACATACAGGGTTTATTTAGTTGTCTGAAAATGTAACACGTTTAAAAAAATACTGCGATAATACCGAAAACCGTGATAATTTTGGTCACAATAACCATGAGGTTAAATTTTCACACCGTGACAACCCTATTAGGAACTAAATTGTACTGGCACCTGACTTATTCAATGATAAAGCAACCTTTTATTTACTTACCAGTTTGTCTTGTGTTTTAGTTTCTATCTCTAGTTTTGGAAACACCCAAACAAAAACTAATCAAACTGAGTAGCCATGACTTTTAGTATTTGGGATAAATTTGCTAAGAAAACTCTGCCTCCTTTTGAAGCTCGACAGCTCAGGTGTCTTTCACATTAGGAGCATCAAAGTTTACTTAATGTGTCTTCACTTGTAATTTGAAGTAACCCAGAAGGTTCAACGAGATTTTACTTTCTTTAATCAGAGAATGTGCTACTACTAGTTCACCTTAGTATCAATTATATATATATATAGATATTAATTATAATTAATTATACATTAAGGTTTATCTACTACTAGTTCACCTTAGTATTGATTATATATATAGATATTAATTATAGATAAATTATACATTAAAGTTTATCTACTACTAGTTCACAGTATTAATTATAGATATAGATATTAATTATAGATAAATTACAGATTAAAGTTTATATACTACTAGTCTACCTGTAGTATTAATTATAGATATAGATATTAATTATAGATAAATTACAGATTAAAGTTTATATACTACTAGTCTACCTGTAGTATTAATTATAGACATAGATATTAATTATAGATAAATTACAGATTAAAGTGTATCTACTACTAGATCACCTGTAGTATTAATTATATATATATATATATATATATATATATATATATATATATATATATATACATACATATATATATTAATTTTAGATATATTAATTACAGATTAAAGTGTATCTACTACTAGATCACCTGTAGTATTAATTATAGATATAGATATTAATTATAGAAAGATTAATTACAGATTAAAGTGTATCTACTACTAGATCACCTGTAGTATTAATTATAGATATAGATATTAATTATAGAAAGATTAATTACAGATTAAAGTGTAACTACTACTAGTCCACCTGTAGTATTAATTATAGGTATAGATATTAATTATAGATTAATTATAGATTAAAGTTTATCTACTACTAGTTCATCTGTAGTATTAATTATGGATATATATATATTACTTATATATATATTAATTATAGATTAAAGTGTAACTACTACTAGATCTGGACTTGGTCATTGGACAAAACACCAGCATAGAGTCCCGAATGATCCTTTACTAAGGTTTTAGCATAACTTGGTCTGGTTGACTGCATCGTCCATTCGATCATCACTTTGATTTTAGTTTGTTTATTTCCATTTTATTATTACTTCCATCATGGGTTTTGTTGTTGCCCTGTGGCTTTTACATTTTGTTGAATCTTCAGGGCCACCATAGAAATTTGGTGTTTTATGGTTCTCTAGTCATTTTAAAGTGACAGTGTGTATTTTCCTGACAATAGGGGGCAGTAGATACCTAAATTGTTTAAAGCAAGCTGCATTTTTGTGTTGGAGTAAGACCTTACCAATGGATCCCCAGTAGGGTCAAAAATAATTCTGCTTAAAGCTGAATTTCCATTAATAATAGGCCTAAGCTCCTCTGTTTCATTGTATGTGTTCCTGTCTCTTTATTTTTGCAAAGCTTTAACTTTTTTTTTTTTTTTACCTTTTATCTATTTATACAGTTCACACATCAGAATAAAGTCATTTTGTAGGATTATAACAAAAGTAAGTCCTACAAATAACTTTAGACAGAAGTTGCCATTTGTTTGAATTCTGGGCAGTTGCAGATGTAATGGCTCTCTTCAAAATTTAAACTCTTATTGTACAGTTGTAAAAAAGTTGGGCTGAAACAAGTTTGACCAGCCGGTGTGGAACAAATTTTAGTTTGTCGTTCCCGATAAAGTTGCTAAAATATTTGGCGTTACCAACTCCACCTAAAATCCTAACTGAAACAAAACCTAATCCTAATCAAACACAAATGTGCAAATATCACTTATACGTTTAAATATGCATAGCTCACATTTCTGTCTATAGCTTGAGGATAAGGTGTTGTTGAACAACTTTTATATTTATTCATGCCTGGAACTGTAGCCTTTCTTTGGTTTTCACACTTGGTCAAACTGCTGTGCACTTGTTACACCAGCGATATCATCTAACCTGGCAACTCTTAGCTAGAATTTGTCCAAAAGCCCGTGTGCTTTATGAGAAAGACGTACCCTATTCCGCAGACAAAGAGCCTATTCAGGTGCTGTGGCATTCTGCACGGCTCCAGGCTTCCCCTCACAAGCGGGGACTGCAGAGGTAACATTTCACTTTCTCTGAACCGCGGGAGAAAGGTCAGAACCCCAAGGGGGGCTCGCTTCCTTTCCTATCCAAGAACAGCGGTTCTTTCACTCATCTGCCTTTGGAGATGTGGCCCGTCTCAGCTGCACACGCGCAGCTATAAAACCTCTATGTCCTACTTATAATCACAGCAAAAGGGAGCGCTGAGTGTCTGACCTCCCATTAATCTGCTGGATGAAAATCCATTAGCAGCATCGTCATGGGTTTTAGTGTTTTAAGCCACTTTCTGGAGCTAAATCAACTCTAAAAAAACAGTACCAACCTTAGAGATATTATATTTCCCCTAATTCAACAACTACAGTTACACCTAACTAACTTTCTCTGCCTTAGCATGACTTACGAAACATGGTGTTAAACTGCTGTGGGTTGAGGTTCCACTTCCCCCACGGCGTCTTATGCCCTTTGGACTGGGCGTAGTGGGCGTGGTTAAACTCTGGCTCCGTCCCAAAGGAATCCAACACCCGCAACATGCACCTGTGGGATGAAACACCGCATTCAACGTAAATTCACAGTTAGAAATGAGAAGCTGCTGTTTATATTTCAGTGTCGGACTCGGTGCCAAGTCACAAATAAAATTCCACAATTTTCCATCCTAGACGGATAACATTTTCCTTTAAAATAATCTGAGTAGGAAATGGTTATTAGTTAAAAAATGTAGATTATTGTAAAATATTGGTGCATAACTTTTTGGGGGGGTAAAACTGGACACATTTTGGTAGTTTTTCGTAAACCATAAAATTTTATACATTTTAATGAAATTTATTTATGACAAAATTTTTACTCCATAATAATAATAATAATAATAATAATAATAATACATCGGATTATGTTGGAACGTCTTTCTTGATTAAAATAAACCATAAAATTGTTCAAGTTTCTAATAGCAGCCAGTAATTAGCTACTGAAGTGTAGCTGTTGTGGTTAATAATTATTTTTTTTGGTGATCTGATTGGTGGGTCACGGCCAGGCTGAAAATCGGTGGATTACAGCCACTAGCTGATCGATCAAGTATCCATACATGTCCGAGAATCATTCTGAAGAGAAGAAAATTGCTTCAAACTGGCAGCAGACTTTGGAGCCACACACGTGGGCTTCTGCATCTAAACACAGCAAAATGAAGCCATTTTTCAGCGGCGGCTCGCCCACTCTAGATGCGGCACAGCTGGCTGTGTGAACTGTGTGAAGCCCTGGGAGAGTAAGGAGCTTACAAAACAGATTCACCAGAAGGAAACTTTCAACTGAGAGTAAAACAACAACGAGCCCACATGCTGCATCCACTCACTCCTGAGAAAAACAACCCTCATCTGTCCCCGGTAAATGGGCCTTGAACAGACGGAGCCAGAACATGATGCAGCTGCTCAAACCTCGGAGTTGTAAGAAGCCGTTCAGGTAAACATTCATGTGCTTGGTGACTTTTGATGCATAGCTCAGGCGGGCTGTCTTTAGAGTGAGACTAGAACACATCAGAGCTCACCCAACGTGGTTTTTAACAGTAAAACATTAATATTATGAACACTGTAATGCACACACGAGAGAAACATGGTCACATGAGTCATTGAAGCTACATTAGATACACGATTATCTTAGTGAAGCATGTTTCTGTCACCAAGCTGATCGCAGAAATATTTTCAGGTATTTCTGGTTCACGCTGCCTAATAAACCAGCTGGTTGTGTCCGAAGACGAGGATGACGGTAACTATCGGGTTCATCTTTTGGCACATGGGACATGGTGCGGAATAGGGTTGGGCGATTTGTATAATTTGTCCCATCGCCAATCGTCAGTCCAATAAATGACGCTGGGCAATTTATTCGTGTATGTGACTAATTCAGCATCGTAATGATGCACGGACTTATTTGCGAATACAGTAAAAGTACAAACGCTCATCTTTTTTTTATTTATAATTGCTGGAAAAGAAAGTTTGATTTATGTTTTTGTTTAATTTTGTTTTTGTAGTTTGGTAGAGTGACGTATAAATGGCTCGTATTAAACACGGTTAAATTGTTCAAAAGCAGCCTCGTCTGTTTCCCTGCGGTGCCCACTATTGTGGTATTTTATTTAAGTAAAGGGATTTTTTTCTGAACAAAGGCTACTGCGTTTCTATCTTTGATGACTTTCGACGCATCTGCTCGCAGCCAGAGGTCACATGATCCGTTTTTCCCCATCAGTTTTGTTTTTAAAATAATTAATATTCATTCAATTTCAGATGCGGAGAAAGTGAGAGATAATGCACAGATGTGCTGTTGATGGAGATCTTTTCTTGTTTTTTTACCTTTGCGATGTTCTCTGTGCGTAACGTGTGAAATATCTGTCATTAACAAACTTACACATGGCCAAACAAATAAATGAACAAACGAACTGCCTCTTGTATAAACAAGACTCAGCCCATCGTCAATGGTCGAACAATTCATCCCATCGCCCAACCCTAACGCTAACTCTTACCAGAGTGAGCAGCTAACGCAGGGTAAACTACGAAGTGGTGGGAGTCCCGTAAAATGTTGGGACAAAACATAAAATACAATTAGCCTGTAGGGATGTCAGAAAGTACCAATACACTGAAATGTCATGATATTTTGTGCTATGATGCTAAATCGATATTTTAAAAGCAGCCTATTTACATACCAACAGTTGCTGTATTTCGTTTGTGTGGTGCAACTCAAACTCTGACAGCTAGGTGGCAGCATTTTTTACCGCCTTTATTCTGAATGGAACAAGATCTCGCAACAACATTGGATGTGTCTGGCCCGAGTTTTCCATTTAAATTCAGTCTTAAAAAAGCAAACATCGTCTTGCTTTTAGCATCTGATATCGTATCGTCTCCCCTGTACTGTGTTATATTTTATGTTGCTGTCAGATTCTTGCCAATACACACCCCTTTTAGCCTGGAGTATGTTAAACTGTTTATAATAGTTATAAACTACAGATCAAACTGGGAAAAAAACTAACGTGGATAAAACTACCAGAACGTTTATGTGCCAAACTTGGTTCTCAATCAGGGTGTGCTGCTAGCATCAGTTGTTTATATCGTTGACATCAGCTGGAGAGAAAGCGTCTCATATCTAGGTTTATGGGACCGGGGAGACGATTCTCACACTTTGCACATTTGAGACTGGTGCAGGGTAATGACACACAAACAAGAGCTTTGTGACTTTACCTACACCATAGCAAAGTGTAGAATATCTATGTCAGTGGTCCGCAAATGGTGGCCCGCGGACCACGTCCGGCCCGCGAGCCCTCTCTTTGTGGCCCCCAAACCCTGCGCGCACCCCCCACCGCCATCCCCGACGGCCGACTGGGAGGTGTAGGATAGAGCTGAGGAAAATAATCAAAATAATCAATGCATAAGATGCGGGCATAAACGGTTTTGCATCATAGAAGAGTACCATAATCAATTATAGTGGAATGTAGTTTTGTTATTATAACGGCAGCACCAGCGTAGCATCCACATCGGTCAGAGCGGTGTTCTGCACATATGCAAACTGTTGTAATTCCTGCAACGTTCATCTGATTTGGATGTAAATACCCTCAAATAAAAGCTGACAGTCTGCAGTTAAAGCACATCTTGTTCGTTTCATTTGATATCCATTGTGGTGGTGTATAGCGCCAAAAACGTTAGCATTGTGTCGATGTCCCAATATTTATGGACCTGACTGTATCTTTATGTCTTTACCTTAGCTACCCTATACCCGGATAACACTGGAGAGAGACCGTCGTATTCGATGTTTTCTAGATCTACTGAGGATACAGAACCAGCATAATTCACATTCTGCATATTTGTAACTCATGACAAGTAGCAACAAAGTTTACTTCTTCACTGCATTTTTAAACAACACTATTTTAGTATTAGCAGTAGGCTACAGTTTATCTACACAGGCTAGATCTATGTATAGGGAGCCTAAGTCTCCTCCCTTTCCGGTCCGCTCACGGGTCCCTGGAAGAACGTAAAAATTAATGCAAGTCAACGGGGCTAAAAACGCTGTTATCTAATCCACTTTGCCTTACGCCCTGGATCACACATATGTTGTACTACAGTTTAAATGAAAAGTAATGATGGATGTTTAGACCACGCCAGTAGCGTACTTTGAGATTTATCAGCTTGTAAAAGTTCGGAATTAGCAAAACTACAAATTAAATATCGGCACGTCGCATATGTGACGTTACCACGTAATCTCCTCTCCCCTAACGTAGCTGCTACTTACCAAACGACCAGATTTATGGTGGTTATTTCCTCCTGTGGGAAGTTTGCTGAACTTGCAGCCATTTTCCCTCCGTTTTTTTCCGTGTCTGGTTCGATGACGTCACTTTCTTGAAGCACATTTGTAGTCCTGGACTTATTTTCACACAAAACCTAAAATCTCGCTTTCCCCCGCTTGAAAATAAGCTCATTCTTGGTATCAAAATGCATCTATAAAATTCACGGATACCATATGTGAAATCCACGGCACATAACAAGCAGAATTAGAAAATCGCGTTTTTAGCATCGTTGACTTGCATTCGTTTTTTGGTTCTTCCGGGCACCCGTGGTCCGGAAGTAGTTGGGCGTGACTTAGGCTCCCTATAGGATGATTCAAATTCTGCCCATTTGTGACCTATGTTGGGTAATGACAAGCAAACATTAGAATTAATCTCTGTGGCAATGTTAATCTCAACCTAGATGACAGAGGAAATTAGAGTATATCGGAGTTATCTGGATCTACAGAGGGTTTAGAGTCAAACTGTGTACACACTTATCCATAACACAACTTACTCTCTGCAGATCTGTGCCTCATGTCGGGTATTGACAATGTAACATACAGTAAAATCACGTTTTCTAGATCTGTTTAGTGGGTCTGTACAGGGCATGGAGAAAAAACTTAGCCAAAACGGACTTTTTATGACTCATGTCAGCTAACGACACACAAACATTAGCTTTATTTTTTTACTGCATCTTTAATCTGCACCTAGTTAGCTTTGGAAAAAGTATAAAAAACAGTATATTTAATATTTTTAGACCTATGGGGTTGGGATTGAGGGCACCGAGTCCAAACAACTCGTATTCTGCACATTTGTGACTCTCATTGGGTGATGACACACAAACATTAGCTTAATTCTCTATTGCATATTTAATAAGCAACCAGTTAGCATTAAGCAATTGCATATAAATATTTAAGATCTATTTCCAAGTTTCACTCTCAGATTTATGAGTCAGGAATGTAAAAAGTCAGCAAACTTAAGAAGTTTATGTTAGCTAGAGCTGAAAAAGCACAAATGAGACAAAGGGGCACCAGGGATATTTACTGGTTACTAGACTAATTCACATATTTACTGCAGCTACACTGGCGGCGTTTGATATAAACAAAACCGTGAAACAACAAAGGCTTCAGTGTACTCAATGAAAATCACTCAGAGGAGAGAAATGAAGAACAATGAAGAGCTGCTGTTACACAGAAGACCAGGAGGCTAGGGCAACAACACAACATATTAATCACAAACCTGACAAACCTCCTCTAAACACAAAAAGCAGCAGCAAGATTTATTCTTTCCTTGAAATCTGGGGTCTTAATATGCAAACAAAGCTAGTGTCTTCTGTTCACAGGCCGTCTCCTGTGATGATAAACCCGAGCCAAAGGCAAAAATGGGATTTTTATAAGGGGTTATGGGCTTCTACGGCCAGGAAACAGCAAAGTAAAAGACGTGATTGCACAGGAGCTGATTAGGTTTTATTTAACGGAAGGAGGATAAGTAGAGGGAAAAAACTGTTTATATTTCACAGAAACACATAAAAAAGGCAAACTGTGCCAACAGTGGGAGTAATAATCCAGAAAAACCACCGCTGCGCCTTACATTTAGCCTGAGGAGGAAGGCATTTCCTCTGGGTGCGGCGCTGGCAGACAGTTTAAGGTGTTGCGTCGCTCTCAAACAAAAGCTGGTGACAAGCTGGAGGAACCAACGGGAATCATTAGTGCCCCTCAGACTCACGGTTCCACCTCTTATCCTGTCAGGAGGGGCGGATGGCTGCTTAAAAAAACTAAACAATAAATCCTCCTCAGTAGCACTCAGAGAGAGAATAGACTCGGTCAGTGACAACGTCCTGAATGGACAGTCCTCAGGCCTTCTGGGAAAACCCGGGTTATGCAGGAACAGAAAAGAGAGCCATTGTCCCGACGAGTGGCAGACGCGCGTCATGTGGAAGGCATGCAGCATGTGAGTGAGGCTGCTGACCCTGAAGCTGATGGCCTGATAAAAGATGCGCTTACTGGTAGTGGACCCAAGAAGGACCAAGAGTCTTCTTAAACTGGGTGAGACCCACGATGTCGATGTAGATGAGCTCCACGATCTTGTCCCCCTGAGTGGGACAGCTGGACTTGTTCCCCATCACCTTCCGCATGATCCTGTGGAGGAAGAGGTGGGAATTATTTGTGTCAAGCAGCTTAACTAGATAAAAACTGAACGTGCTAGCTACTGACTCCTTCAGCTCGGCCAGCGATGCGGAGATGCGGACTTCGTGACCCAGTAGGTACAGCGTGGTGATGAGGTCGCTCCACTGGACCAGCTCCCCCAACGGGCCGCCGCTGAAGGCGTTCTCTGCGATCTTGAAGCCCGACTCCTTGGTGAGCAGGCCCAAGTGGACCAGGATCTGATGGAGGTGGTAAGAAGATGAATAAACTGATACCAAACACTTAAAGGTCTCGTTCACGGAGAAACGGTAATACTCGTGCTTTTATAGACACAATCAGTCAAGCCGAGCTGCACGTGAATGCTGGACACGATCCTTTAATCAGCTGCCATCTCCTGCATTAGCCGCTGAAAGGAAACGGACGATAAAACGATCAGGCCTCAAAAATACAATACTATTCATGGCCCCGCCCACATTGGCTTGTAACCACCCACAGGAAGGACAGAGGGCGTGTTTCAGCTAGTAGATGCTAACCATTAGCATTAGCAACTTCACAGCATGGCAGAATATGATTAGGCTTGTGTTGTTTGTGGAGATAAAGCATCAACGTTAAATTTTTTACCCAAGAAAGAAGAACAAACGGAGGCAGCGGAAGAGTCCTGTAGCTGTTAGCCAATCAGAAGGGAGACGTTTGCATACCATGACAAAGACTCATAACGCTGTTGTTTTCTCACAAAGCCTCTCTTCATACTAGAGCACACACACTTACAACAGATTTAATGAACAGTTTTTCTAAAAATCGGCACCGGTATCAGCCACTGAAAGACCTTTATCGGCCAGTCTCTGATTGTAAAAGCAATACTTCTAAAACTGATCTGGATACATTTAAACTTAAATCTCGTGCAAATAGAAGGTGCAAAAAAGAAATTCATGTAAAATTGGCCCTTAAACTGAGTATGGAGTGAAAAATGAGCTTTATTTTTCGTTGTAGGCTGTCTTGTGTTGAAAACGACACTGATGAATAAAACAGAACAATACAGGAACCCGCCCACACAGTGAGGTTCGGGTAGCCAGAGGGGGAACGCAGGATAAAATAAAACCCAGCTTTGTTTGAAGTGACCAATGTTCCTTTTGAGAGTTCGGCTCTGAGCCAGGGAACAGTCATCAAGGATTAATATATGAGGATTAATATCCAAAAGAGATTAACAGCTCACACAAAGAACTGGTGAGGGAGGAAAACAATCTAGAGAGAAAATGCTCTTTGTTTGATTAGAGCTAGTTTTAAAGGACAGATAGTGAAAGTTAGAAGATCCAAAGATAGAAAGAGGACAGTGCTTTGCATCAGCACCAACCCATCACTGATTTATGATGTGAATTTTTCACAGGACCAGTGGAAAAAGAGGAGTACATAATTCAGAGCTGGGAGCAGCCAGCAATGGAAGATCCATGTCAGGACTTCAGGGACAAAGGATGGTCTACCAGGTGTGACTTTAACCGGACGCTTTTGGAATGCTGCTTGGGAAAAGAGAACGCTTGCCTTCTTTCTCCGCCGCTTGCTCAGGTTCTGCTTAGCTGCCAGCGAGCGGATGGCGCCGACCCACGGTTCAGCCATGCGCTTGATCCTCAGCATCATCCAACGAAACTCTTCTCGCTGCGACATGGAGCGGTAAAGCCCCTCGAAGCTGGTCCGGATCTCCGCCTGCACAAACACAGTTCACACACCTGCTGTCAAAAGGCACCTGTGTGTGTCGAAGGTGTTCCATCTGATCACTTCAGAACGTCAGACTAACGGCATTTACAGGAATGCAGATAGTGGAATAAACAAGGCTCTGGCGTCACTGCCTGTTCTTCTTTGACTGTCAGAGACTGAGGTGACCGACATCTTTACAGATAGAGGCAAAAAGGGTTTTAAAGGGTACAGAAGCCTGTTAACTCTTCTATCACATGCTTTAAAACTCGAGTCAGTAAAAATCAAAGCCAAGTGGACAAAACTGACCCAAGATCTAAAGAAATGTTAAAGTTGACTCTAGAGGCTCATTAAGGTCACCGTAGTAACCACCAGAGGTCGACAAGGTAAAAAATAATAAACGGTCATAATCGATTTATCCCTGTCACTTTCATTTCTAAAATAATAATATATATACATTAAATTCCATCTAATTTTTATTTAATATTTATTCCTAACATGCTGACCAGAGAGCCCCAGTAACAAAAAGGAAAAAAAATCTTGAATCGTAAACAGCAAACGAGTTTTACGTTTTATTGTGTTTTACGTGGTAGAAATTAGGGGTGTGTACTGGTGAAAATCTGGCAATATGATATTTAACAATATACGGGGAACAATACGATATTTAACATTATTGGGGGGACAATACAATACAATATTTAACATTACTGGGGGGACAATATGATATTTAACATTATAAGGGGGACAATATGATATATAACATAATAGGACAATTCGATATATAACATTATGGGGGGACAATACGATATTCAATTTGATATATAACATTATTGGGGGGGGGGGGGGCGCGACACAATACAATATTTAACATTATAGGGAGGACAATATGATATATAACATAATAGGACAATTCGATATATAACATTATGGGGGGACAATACGATATTCAATTTGATATATAACATTATTGGGGGGGGGGGGGGGCGACACAATACAATATTTAACATTATAGGGAGGACAATATGATATATAACATTATTGGGGGGGGGGGGGGACGGCACAATACAATATTTAACATTATAGGGAGGACAATATGATATATAACATTATTGAGGGGGGGGGGGGGGGGGAGACGACACAATACAATATTTAACATTATAGGGGGACAATATGATATATTACAAGACTAAAAGCTAGACAATATTTGTTCATTTTTACACCAAAATTAATCAGAAAGTCTGGCAAGATGCATCTGAGACACAATCAGCTCTATTGCGAGATCTCATTAGTCAATCAAAGTGAAGGTGATAAAAACTGCTGCCACCTAGCAGTTGGAGTTTGAATTGCACCTCACAAAAGAAAAATGTTAGTAAATGTTAATAAATTGATACGCTGCTTTAAAATATTGATTTGGCATTATAACATTAAGCCTTACAATCACTTCACCTTCACTTTCAGTGTACTGATATTTTCTCACAGCCATAGTAGATTACGTTAGAAAAAACCTTCACTTCCAGTTTTAAAGAGGTTGTTTTGAGATGACTGAGAACCTTCACCAGCATTTTGAGATGATTCTTTTAGTGTTTGGATGTTTGTCATCTGAACTCTCAGGTTATTTGAGTGAAAACTAAGTCCCACAGCAACGAGAGATGGAGTAGGTGGAAGAGTTAAAAATGGCAAAATTTTGAATAATATTGTATCTAAGGAATGGAGGCGGTGTTCTCATTTGTAAGTGTGGCATCATCAAAATGAGGAACCATTTGGTTGGCTGTATTATGGTTTACCGCAGTTTTTAAGAGTCACAATGTCAAAAACACTATTTTTTCCATTATAACTGTTCCATTCCGTTCAACATTAGCAAGACAAATTTTTTTAAACAGATGAGTTGTGATTTTTATGCGTATTTGCAATTTTTGCTAATTTCAACCACATTGAAAAGAAAAATCGGGATATTTTTCCACAGCTACACTATTTTGGACCCTGTATTATATCAGACTTGTGAACAGGATGGTGTTAAGCACAACATTATAGCTAAAGACAAGAAAAAAAAGATGTTTGAGGTGAAAAAACCGAATAAAAGTTTCTCTAATAAAAAGTGATACTAGACTATCTGCTCTGATTTCCAACACATCTCAACAACGTTGATATGAAACTACCATCTTTGTTACGTTTGTTCTGTGTTTTCTATAAGATTTCCCTTTTAGTGGTTCTTCATCAAGACGAATCAAAGAAGCGATTGAGAAAACAGAGGTAGAGCCAGGACCATGAACAGCGACGAAGGAGTATACAGGCTGGACCACTCTTGGGACGTGGTCATCAACGGAGAAGGCGGGGCAGTAGGGGGTGATATCGTCCTCTGCTGCCCGCAGAAGGTGGCAGTTGACGCCGAAACATGTCAGCAAAGATAAACACAAGCTCTATTTGCTCTGTGTGATGAAGAACCATAAAAATAGTGAAAGTACCAAATGAAATGTGGACACAACATTTGGCCACAGCAGTTATACAGTTTGCTGTGAAGAAATGACATAAAAAGATTATCATCAGAGTATTTTAGACTCAGAACATGACGTGTATGAATGGGACAGCACGAATGGGAGGAAGATGGAGGGGGGAAAGCAGAACCCACACAAACATTAGTAGCTGCTATGGTGGCTAAAACAAGGCTGTAGCGGGGCATCAGCATCCCTCATCGCGACAGGAAATCGCTTCCACAGACGGAACCAATTAAAATCTGGGCCTGAATTAAAATCTCTGAAGCTCGCCTGTGTGCTGCAGAGAGCTCAGTGCTGTTGATGCATCCAGAAAGGAAGATGAAGTGTGCTTTATATTGATTCATTAACAGCAGAGAGGAGTGAAGGGTGAAACGAGGAGTTTGCATTAACGTGAGCTCAACACGTTTACTCTGAGGATGTAAAAACGACCCAGAATCAGAAAAGGTGGAGGAAAATAGAAAACGTACACTACAAAAACACACTGTTCTATTTTATTGCAGCAACCCACAACAACTGATAGCACAATTTGTCCAACATTGAGCCAAGTAAAAAAGAAAAAGTAGTTTGTCTTAAACACAAGATTTTAAATGAAATTTGAAATCTGTGCCAACACTAATATTTAGCACATGTCTACTGTTACTTTGACTTAAAGAGGCAACGTGTAATTTTTTACTATTAATCTCTAAGAATATCCATCAAAATGTTGTTGAAAATTAATTAAATGATTCCCAGTTGTTGAAAAATATTGGTGGCTTGGTAACATATAACCTTAAAAACCGTGTCTAAAATACATTGGACATTGGATTTGGGTTATGCAAATGTAAAGAATGCAAACATGTCCAAAACAAGACTTCCTCTGGGACAATCAGATCACAATCTTGTTTTTCTCTGCTCAGAATACAAACCACTTGTTCAGAAGGAACCTGTGACAAGAACTGTAAGAAAATGGTCACAGGACACTGAAGAAGCCCTGCAGGGTTGTTTTGAGACCACAGATTGGATGACTATCTGCCAAGGATATGAAGAGGACATCAATGCCATGACTGGATGTGTCACTGACTATATAAACTTCTGTGTGGACAACATCATACCCACCAGAACAGTGAGATGCTTTGCTAATAACAAACCCTTGATCACCAGTGAACTGAAGAATCTGCTAAATGAAAACAAGAGCCTTCAAGGAGGGAGACAGGGAATTATTGAAGAGTATACAGAAGCAACTGAAGATCAAGATCAGAGACAGCAAGGAGGCATACAGGAAGAAGCTGGAGAACAAACTACAGAGGAACAATATCAGAGATGTCTGGTCAGGAATGAAGAAGATCACAGGCTTCAAGCAGAGGAAAGATTGCACAGATGGCAGCCTGGACACAGCCAATGACCTGAACAAGTTCTTCAATAGGTTCAGTTCAGGAACAAACCCAGTATCCTCCTCGCCTGTCCCTAGCCAATCAGACATGCCATCCTCCTCTGATCCAACATTTTCCTGTCACACACCAGCTCTTTTGTCCTCTAACGCAGTCATGGACTCTTCTGGTTCTATAAATCTGTCTTCAACCAAGTCAGGAGATGCTGCTGCTCCATTTACCTCCCCCTCCCACCTATCTGTATCTAGAAGTCAGGTGAAGTGGTAGCTGGAGAGACTGAACAGGAACAAGGCTGCAGGTCCAGATGGTGTCAGCCCCAGAGTACTGAAGGACTGTGCAGAGAAGCTCTGTAGGAATCTGCAGCACCTCTTCAACCTCAGCCTGGCCCAAGAGAAGGTTCCAGTCCTGTGGAAGACATCCTGCCTTGTTCCAGTTCAAAAGAAAACTCGCCCATTAGTCAATGACTACAGACCAGTTGCCCTGACATCCCACATCATGAAGGTCCTGGAGAGACTCCTGTTGGTCCACCAGAATAAGCAAACTAGAACATATCATGACCCGCTGCAGTTTGCTTATCGCCATGGAGTTGGAGTTGAAGATGCCATCATCCAGCTGCTTCAGCCAACCCACTGTCATCTGGACAAAGCAGGCAGCAATGTGAGGGTCATGTTCTTTGATTTCTCCAGTGCATTTAACACAATTCAGCCTGATGTACTTTGCCAGAAACTCCAGAAGACACAGGTGGGGGCCTCAACTATCGCCTGGATTAAAGACTACCTGACAAACAGACCACAGTTTGTGAGGCTGAAGAACTGCACATCAAACCAGGCGATCAGTAACATTGGAGCACCACAGGGGACTGTACTCTCACCATTCCTTTTCACCCTGTACACCTCAGACTTCCAGTACAAATCAGAGACCTGTCATCTACAGAAATAGTCAGATGACTCTGCAGTTGTCGGGTGTATCAGAGATGGACAGGAAGCTGAGTACAGAGAGCTGGTGGAGCGCTTTGTGGCATGGTGTGGAAACAATCATCCGACCTTGAACGTGAACAAAACAAAGTAGATGATTTTAGACTTCAGAAGAAACAGGGTGGAGTCAAACACTGTTTCCATCATGGGAGAAGAAGTGGAGGTGGTTGAGGAATACAAATACCTTGGAGTTCACCTGGACAACAGACTGGACTGGAGAAAGAACAGTGAAGCCGTTTACAAGAAGGGACACAGCAGACTGCACTTCTTGAGGACGCTTAGGTCCTTCAATGTCTGTAGCAAGATGCTGCAGATCTTCTACAAGTCTGTTATTGAGAGTGTAATCTCTTCAGCCATCGTCTGTTGGGGTAGTAGCATCAGAAGCAGGGACCTGAAAAGGCTCAACAGCCTAATAAAAAAGGCTGGTTCTGTTCTGGGGACGACTGTGGAACCACTGGAGGAGATAACGCAAAGAAGGATTCTCCAGAGAATCAAGAAAATTATGGACCACCCTGAGCATTCTCTTCACAAGACTGTCCGACAACGGAAGAGTGTCTTCAGTCAGAGGCTTCTTCAGTTTCGCTGCAACACTGACCACTACTGGAGATCCTTCCTGCCAACAGCCATTGTAATATACAAAAACTCTTTGACGACTTGATTATTATTATTATTCTGAGCTACTACAGCAATCAATTTCCCTCTGGGATTAATAAAGTATTTTTGAATTGAATTTAATTGATTTGTCCCGCAAGCCCCATGCGATTAGCACAGTGCAAAATTAGCCAACAGCGTTGGACATCCGCTTACGTACAGATGTCAATCACAGAGTGTGAAAGCTTTTTCTGACGTACCAATACAGATGCAGAGTTGACCACTTTTCTTATGAACAAGTATTCAATATATACATATAAATATATACGTATATATATACATATATGGACGAGACCACAGGTATGCGCTGAAACAAAAGTCACATTTTTAAGTGACTCAAGGTGGTACAGCTTTTTTTAAATGGAGGTGAACGTTGCCAACCTGGTTAGGGGCCACAAAGACGGGGCCGCCTATTGAGGACCACTGGTATATATGGTGAATGGTAAGGTAGTCATTGTCACACACTAGTGAAATTGCATCTCCACATTTGACCCCCCACCCCCACCCCCATCCCCACCCCCCCCCACACACACACACCCACACCGAAATCCAACCCCTTAAAGCTGAGTATCAAGCGGGGAGGCTTTGGGTCCCCCTTTGGGTTTTTAAAGTATTTGGTATGACCCGAGCGGGATTTGAACCTAGATCTCCCACTCGGTGCAGACACTCATACTCTTCCTCTACAAACAGAGCAATGACATAAAACTTGAGGTTATATTTGATAAGCATCAGGAGGTATGAGGAGCCTAATCTGTTTTTGTGAAAACAAATAATTTCTGAGGCATTGGTTCTCTTAAAGATGAGTTCACAGCTTTTTCTGTGTGCCTCACCTGCCCACTGCGGTCTGTTTCATCATTCAGGAGCTTCATCCTCCAGGGAAGACGAGGACACCAGTTCTCCACCTTTATGAAGAAGAAGAAAATCGTGACTGTCTTTTATGAAGTAAAACCTATTAAAGCTGAATTCTACTTTAACAGTGTGAAGTTTAGACAAAAATGAGACCAGCTGCTGTTTTCTCAACATCCGACTCATCTGTATCTTTTTATGCATTAGACGGTATTTCAGCTCCATTTAAAAACATTTATTATTCCCATTCTTTCTGATTGCTACACTCTGGTTCCTCTGCTGTTGTTTGATTTAACTAAATAAACACTTAAAAGGGCTAAAATCTACTTCACCACAATAAAAAATGCACTGTTTTTCCGGGTAACAAATACTTTCTACCACAAGATGCAACTCTACTAATTTTACCATGATAAAAGTTTACTTGATTAATCTCGAAAAATAATCTGTGTCACAGAAAAATGACAGACTTTTCTTTAGTGGGCACATTTTTTTTCACCTGACTCCTAAATGTTTCAGAGCCACAAACAAACTTTAAACGTAACTTAAATAAACAAAAAGTGTAGTTTATATTTTTTTTATTGTATGGTAAATGGCCTGTATTTGATGTAGCGCCTTCTAGAGTCCTGGAACCACCCAAGGCGCTTTACAACACAATCAGTCATTCACCCATTCACACACACATTCACACCCTGGTGGGGATGAGCTACGATGTAGCCACAGCTGCCCTGGGGCGCACTGACAGAGGCGAGGCTGCCGAGCACTGGCGCCACCGGTCCCTCCGACCACCACCAGCAGGCAACGTGGGTTAAGTGTCTTGCCCAAGGACACAACGACAGCGACAGACTGAGCGGGGCTCGAGCCTGCAACCTTCCGATTACGGGGCGAGCTCTTAACTCCGGTGCCACCGTCGCCCACTGTATCAAAAGCAACCTGGCCTATGAGAAAATGAAATGACCAAGGATGTGCTTAGAGTTCAGCTCTAGCAGACACATCCAGGCCTGATTATTGCTGTAGGGCCATTGAAGGTCCTTAAACCATGACCTTCAAAGGCTCCTACACTACCAGATCAGACTTCCCTTCATTAAACCAGAACATGAAAGAGAGATATAAGGAACCACCTTTTGTCAAGCTTTTTGACAGTTCTATTGATTTATGACCTTTATGCCCTTTTCCCCAAACCACCTTACGTCAAGCTTGACAGGTGTATTGTTTTATGACCTTTTGTGATATGATCTTTAATGACCCTATATGTCAAGAAATGAACTGATGACTGTTGTGTGATGAAGCATGAAGTTATTGTTTGTAGTCCCCTTTTGTGAAGATGTATATTGATGATCTTCTTTGATCTGCACCACTTTACGTCAAGTTAGCTACGAGTCAAATAGAAAACATTCATATCGATATAAAATCTGATCAGAATGAGCCGATTCACTTCTTATACAGAAAAACAATGGTGAGGCTTCATTTCAGGCCTGCTCAATCCTATCAGAGAAATACAATAATGTAACGTGCGTGAAACGGGGTGTGAGTCAGTTACACTCTTTTACTCATTTCTTCGTATATTTTTTAACCGATAAATACCAAATCTACCAGCCTATATATATATATATATATATATATATATATATATATATGACGACTATTAACTCTTCAAAAAATAAGACACAACATTAAATAATCTTAAAAATGCATTTTTTCTTAAATTTATTACTTTGAAGTCCTTAAACTTGGCTCTACTACTGCTTTTTCTAATCCTGCAAGACCCCATGGCTATAAACGGTATAAAGGCCATTCAAACAGTTTTCTTCATTTAACTGAGAATATGCTGTTGGGTGAAAGCTGCAGCTGGGTATGACTGTGGACTGGATGGGTGGCAATAGTTGGAAAATGCCAGAATTCTGAGGGGAACAGCTCCTGCCTACATATTAAAACAAGTACTATGAACTAGTTAATTTTTTTGACGTGTGAACTTAGTTCAAAGGATTTCATTATGAACTACAAGCTCATTTTAAAACGTGTGAACTGAATTTTGAACTAGTTCACTTTGAAATGAACTTCCCCAACTTTGGTTGTTGCAGCAAATCATTTTCATAACCCATGATGAGGTTGGGGGGGGGTCGTTTCGGGTTCATCCAGAGCCAACCTAGCTGGGAAAGCCTAATAAATAAAAACATTGCATATTTACTCTTCGATCTGAAATGTTCGAGTGTTTGTTAGAGTTTGACCTCAAATTTTCTTCTGAGTAGAATCATTTTTAGGCGTGTTAGGTAGTGGACCCTTGGCCTTCCATCAAATCGACCCCCCCAGTTTGCCCCTTCCCAAGGTTAAAGTCTCCACGTGAATTATTCACTGCAAAGCCGGTGTTCCAGTGCGAGCGACTGATAAAGAGATCGATCGTAGCTGCTCCTGCATAGAAAACATATGCATATCTCCATGGCAACTGCGGGATCACGCAACTGACTCGGAGTGAAGCCGGAGAAGGCCGTTTAGATTAGAAAGTGGACGCATCCCAGGTCTTCCCGACATTTGTTTTCTTGTGTTGTTCCCGTTTTAGAGAAGGTAGAGAGGGCTGGAGAGCAGCTCCCCGTCTCGTCCATCTAGCTTCTATTTTAGACCCCGGGCAGGTCGGGCTTTCAGTTCCTATACAATATTAATAACTCGCCATTTTCAGCCTTTATCTGGAAGCATTCGGCTTTGTGTGCAAGTTGAAGTTTCACAAGAAAGACCTTTTGATCAGGAGGTGATGAATTTAATTTGATTAGAAGAGAAAACAGAAAACGAGACTTTAAAGCGTCAGAATCAGTCAGAGTCATCATCAGGTTTAGGATCAGTGTGTGTGTGTGTGTGTTTGTGCGTGTGTGGAACAAAGGTGATGTTACCAGGGAGATGAAACGGTTCTGATTTCAGCTTTTAGGGAATCTAATTACGCTTGGATCAGAACTCAGGATCGGATTAAGAGAAAAGTCCAGAAGCCAAAAAACAATCAGACTTAAAACTGATGTGTAATTTCAGCGTTAGAAAACTAAAGATGGAGGCACAGAGCGTTGCCTGAAGGAGTTAGCCCCGATACCTCAGCGCTCCCTCGTAACAAATGACTCCATCTTTTCATCTTATGTCGGGGGGAGGGAGAGGAGGTTTCACAAAGTCCCTCGCTCTTGTCCACCGCTCCTCTTCCTCTTCTCCTCTGAGTGACTCATCTTCTCTTCCCTCCATCCCCGTCCGTGTCCTCTCCCCTACACTAATCTGCCTTCATGAAAAATCCTCTTTGCTCCTGATTTCTCGTCGTTTTTAGGTTTCGATTTGCAGGACGGTTGCATTCATCTCGTGTTGGAGAGATCTTCGTGAACACCCTCTCTTTGGAGAAATGGAGACCCAAAGGGACTGATAAGCTAACGGCCAGTTTGAGCAAAAAGGATTCCTGGTGAATAACTACATGATGTAAAATAGACGGTGTAGTGGTATGAAGGTGGGGAACACTCGTTTAATTACTGTCATTTTTGACTCACAATAAAATAATTGCTATGGCATTTGTTATGCTATATATGTATTTATGTTAATGCAACTTTTTCCATTTTTATGCTAGTAGGAAACTTAAAAAAGGTTTTAATTTTAAAAAAGTTGTTTCCAACCACTTCCTATAGCATGACATCATCTGATTCTTGCTCCTTCTGGTTGAAGACATGGCGGGTGCAAATCATCCCGGAAAGAGGTAATTTTCATAAACTTCATTTGATTTTTTCCCCAAACATATTTATAATTATTTAATCATTTAAGTCTCTGGAGTAACTCCCAAAAAATTGTACCTAAGATAAATATTTTTTTTCTTCATGGGCTTATTTCTGTGAGTGTTGCCAGTGGGCACAAAGCGCAGCGCTAACTAAAGGAAGGAACTAGAAGTGAGCCAGATCAGAGCTGAGCTTTAGAAGACAGGATTTGGGTCTTATTTCCTGATATTTGGACTCTCGCCTCTGATTGGCTAACAGCCAGGCAAAGAAAAATGGTTGTGTATGAGTAAAATGAATGAATATACTAAGTCATCGACAGTACTATTGTATTTAGACACCGGTCATTTCAACATCTTTATAATACATACAGTGATTAGCTATTATTTTTGTTTAATATTGACTATTTTTAATAGCCATTCCATCTCTACCTCTTATTGCCCAAAAATTCCCTTTAATGTTTGAACCAGAAAAATTATTCTTGCTAATCTTTTCTTCTGAAAGTGAAACAGCCTCTAATTGTACACTAAATGACTTGGTGATTACATTTTTGGCTGAATATTTTTGTGAGAATGGAAGAAAAATGGTCCTTTAGAATTAGAAAACCCTTTTAGAATAGCAGCTAATGTGTTTCTTTTATAAAACAGTTTTTATAAAACTCTATCAAGTCAAGTAGCTTAATTGGTCCTAGTTTAATTCCACGTTAACAAACAGCAAACGTACACACCTCGCTGAGGTAGATGAAGAAGGAGCAGGTGGAGCCATCAACGCCATAGTTGGAGTAGCAGGGGTCTGAGCGCCACATCTCCTTCATCCACTGAGAAAGAAAAGAAAAAAGTTAAAGTCTGAAGATAAAACCTACAAATACTAAATTATTTTCCCAGAATCATTTTGGACTCTTCTTTAGACAAAATTGCCACGTTATAAAAATCTAATCTAAATGATTTAGCAGTCTTTGGTTGATGATTTTCGGTAAGTAATGGTAACGAGAATGTTTTTTGTTGGGGAGCATCATAGGTGTGTCTATTGGGGTACGTGGATATGACACAATTTATTTAGTGATGCACCGATATGACATTTTGGGCCGATTTCAATATTAGGATCACTGTTATGGCCGACAACAAATATTTGCCGATACAAATATACTGACATTAATGCTTCTAAAATTGCAGATTTAGTACAGAATGAAAATTATTAAAGCTGAATTTATGTTATTATGTACACACAACACACACATTTACGATTCTGAGATGATTTCATTCACTCACTAAACTAATACACATCAGCCCCTCACCCTATGAAACAAACGAAAGGAGATGAGATGGAAAAAATATCGGTTGTTAATATCGGCCAGGTTTTATTTATCGAACCGATACTGATTTGTTAAAAAAATGACCAACATCGGCCGATACCGATATTGGTGCCAATATATTGTCCATCCCTAAATATATTGCTATACTAAAAGCCAGACGATATTTGCCATAAGACTGAATTTAATTGGAAATCTCAGACCAGATGTTTCCAAGACATCCATCTCCTTGTTCCGTCAGAGTGAAGGCGGTAAAAACTGCTGCCACCTAGCAGTCGGTGTTTGAGTTGAATCACAAAAAAGAAATACTGAACATCTTTTCATGTAATTTCTCAATAAATAAAACACTGCTTTTACATATTGATTCAGTATTATAACACTGAATATTGTGATATTTCAGTGCACCAATATTTACCTACATCCCAATGGGGTCTACAAATCAAGTTGGGCATGAGCTAGGAAATACGCCCTTTTAGGCATTTTTTCAGGATTTTCTTTTCTTCTGGTGAAACGACTATTTATGTCCCGCCATTGCCCAGTACTACCAGCGTGGCCGATCAATGTATTGAGCATTCCTCTTTCTTTTTAGACTAGACAGAGATAAACTTACAGCCAAAGCAATGGAGCTGAATTCTTAATTTTTTTATGCGACAATTATTGTTTAATTAAGTGCCTAATGCACTCATCTCTGCTACTAAAATACATTAGAGGTGTACAATTAACGGAGTTCGTATTTCCATCTCAGCTCACAAATGCTAGCCTGGCAAGCCATCCTATACATGTATAGTCTGGCCATGACCCGCGTACAAAGCTCAGTCTTACCCCCAAATTCCACTACCTCCGCTCCGCTCCGACACGAACGCCGGAGCAAAATCGGTCCCGTTGTAGTCAATCAGAGCAATTCCACTACTGCGGCCGTGCTCCGGCAGTGCGGCGCCATGCGCCGCCCTCTGTTCCGGCGTCCGGCAAAAATAGAATCGATCCTATTTTCGCCGGACGCCGGAGCACCTCCGCAGTAAATGGACAGAAATCACAACCGCCCAACAGGAAAAGGAGCAAGCACAACTTCCGTTTTTCACAATAAATCGATAAACAAAAGGCGTTTTTTGTTTCGTATGCACAGGTTTAACAACTTTTAACAACTATCAATGGCGGCTGAAGTTTAAATGCACAAAAGTAAGCCATAAATACAGTTTCTACTATCAAAGTAGTCACACTTTGTTGATCCAAACACTGCTGATCTCTCAACACAAATGATGGGCAGATTAAACAGTTCATGTCGATGCTTCTCCCACACAACGGGTGTTTGGATCTAACTTCCGCGTTTATTGCTCGGACTGTATCGCAAGATCTCGAAAATCCCGCACATGCTTGTTTGCCCACCTCAGGTCTCCGCACCAGAGCGGAGCCGTTGTAGAGCGGGTACCAGTAAAAATTGAGTTCGGAAGCGAGCGGGGGCGGAGCGGAGGTAGTGGAATTTGGGGGTTAGGGGCAGAATCTATGGTTGTCCTTCAAACAAAAGTCTAGGACCAATCAGAGCAATGATGTGAGGAATTCATTGCTACGGAAATCAGTTAACGGGGCAGTCAGCCATTCATCGTCCTTAAAAAAAAGACCTAAGTACCTCTATCGGACCTAAACTCAAAGATAAGCTCAAGTCTAAATCACCCAACGTTGATGCCAAAGCCGTTTCAAACGAGCGCCGTTCCTGATCCATTATCATCGTTGTGGTTTTTCTCCATTGCAGCTTTGGTGCTAAGCCTGTCGAACGCTGTGAGTGGCCTGGCCTAAATTAAGCCAAGCCAATAGCGGACCCTCTGAGGCCACAATGGAGCATGGCTTAACCAACCTACAGAGCTAAATCTTTTTTCTACTGCGATGGTTTGTCCAGATTTCTAGGCTACACAGATACAACATTCCTGAAAGCAACGTCTTTTCTAACTCAAGTATTCTTGTTAAACAGCGATTTAAAATCTCAAAATATTTGAATAGTGATTTAAAGACTGATCTGAATAATTGTGACTTAAATAGCAATCTAAATAACTATGATGCAGACCTAGATATTTGTGATTTGAAAACAGTTATAAAGGACCACGATTATGTTAATTTGTGTGTAGATGTTATTTACTGCTAACATCGTCACATTTTCCTGGAGAAACAGAGTAAAAAACAAGAATAACGGGTAATAAAGTAAAGGAGCAGACGGATGGGAACACAGCTCCTACTTGTCCAGATTTCTGTGGTATTGCCAGAATCACTGTGAATATCCTGCTCAGTTCTGAAGACTGAAGCAACACCATGCACACTGACTTATAGTAACCTTGGACTGCCGCACACAGAGCAGCAGAAACTCATCACATCCAGTCTTGGCTCACAGGCTGAAATGAGTCATTTAAGCGGCACCAAGACTGTCGTGTTTTCTTTAACCCAGAAATAAAATCGCTCCTATTAAACGAAGAGAATTCGTTTGTCAGATGTTATAAAATAAGTGCTGAAAAAAAACCTGCCGTGGAGCTCCAGTTGACGCTCATGAGTGTGTGTATGTGTGTGTGTTGTGGCTTGGGCTGGAGCTCGTTTGGAAATGCTGATAGTATCAGAGGAAGACTGTGACTGGCTAAGCAGATGGTGTGTATGACAGGGCCCTATCAGCTTCAGGGACACCAGCATGCACACACACACACACACACACACACACACACACACACACACACACACACACACACACACATGCAGAAATTGTGCATACATTTGCATCTATACTGAGCTACCAACTTCCTTTTAAAGATCCTGACACCTGCTGTTCCAGCTGGAAATGACGGCTGCGGAGTAAAACCAGAGAAGCATATTGATATCTGAGTTGATTCATCTACATTTGTATCACTTTTGATTTTCCCGTTATCCTGGCACTCCCAAGTATTTGACATTTAGATCACTCCGTCCTTACTGTGCATAACTAATGTAATCCTGACATTGTGCATGGTGACTCTGACTAAAGGTTGGTCATTTGATACTCTTGATAAAGATGGTGTTGTTCTTTGCACATGGTCTGGGTGACTATATTACAACTATTGAGTATAATCTTCAGCTCCAAACATAAATTAGTAGATTTTTAGAATCTTTAACGCATCCCAGTCCAGCTAACTCCATCCCTCACCAAAGAAACTCCCTCAAACTCCTCCTACACCTGGAAACGTGTCCAGTGTTGATCTGTGTAATTTTCAGATTCTTCTAGCAGCTTTTTTGGTTCTAAAAGGGGCTCTCTGGGACACATCCAGCAGTTTCCTGGAGTTTTACGAACCTTGTTCTCAGAGCGCCACGGGAGCTACTGCGGAACGCTCCCCCATCCCAAAGCAGTCACAGGCGGCCCAGTTCCCGCTACAGTGGCAGAAACATGATATATGTCGTATACTATTTTTCTATTGCCCCCGAGCTGCCCTGGGACACAAAAAGTAGAGAAATGAGGTTGCCATACACAGGTGCCATTAGTCCTTCTGACCAAAAAACAGCAGGCAAGGAGGCTGAAGTGTCTTGCTTTAAGAACACAATGATAACCCAACTCTTTGATGACAGTGCAAACTCCTAACCCAAACCATCCACTCTACGAAAGAGACACTGAGATTAACTCCTCAGCACTCAATGCATAAAAGCTGATTTTGCCTTCGTTCCACTGAGTTGTATGGGTTGGATCGGTGCGCCGTTTTGTCTGTTTCCATTGTAAAAGCGTCCCATTAAACCGACCTGTACTGGGCCCACTTCAGTTACGAGTCCACAGAACAATGGAACAATATGCTTAGAGCGGAGCTACTAGCATCACACAATACACAGGAAAACACCAGTGCTTGTGACATCAACACCAGAGTGCTGCTGGTGCACCTTACCTCATTGTACACTGATGTGTAGAACACAAGAAAGAAGGCGCAAACGTAAAAATCAAGCATGGTGGGCAGCAATGGCTGTCTAGAGTCCATGGTTTATTGGGTCGTGTTTGTCGTCACTCTAACATGACACCACGGAACGCTTTTAGGTTTAACCGCACCTGCCCAGTGAGAGTACAACTGGTGGTAGAAATGCTAGCCTGAATAGAACGAACCATAGAATAGCATAGGGGGATATCAGGTGAATGAATGAAAAAATCAAACAACTTGTTTCTGTAGAAAAACGAAAACTGGATCATCCAGAGGTGGACGGTGTTAAAAAAGATACTGAACAAACATGTTTTCACTAGTATAGTCTCTCTGTTACCTTAATTTTAGCAAATGAGGCCATTTTCGTATCTCAAAGCACACATTTTTGGGGAAAATAACATCAGTGGCTCACCTTGAGCTTGCTCTCGCAGTGAGGAAAACCATCCAGAGGCGGCAGCTCGCACTTCTCCTGGGCTCCGTTTAGGAGGTCTGTTGGAAAACAGAGAGGAAACAAATCAATGAGGCTGAGTCGGTCAGCTGCAAACTTTTTCACAGTCTTAGTTTTGTTTGTTCACACTGGAGAAAAGATGGAGTAGATACAAAGATATCGGGACTCCGGTCTGCTGGGGTAAAAATGAAAGTTTAGAAAGAAAGTGAAGTCACGGGGAGGGTTACAACAAACTGTTCTTACAAGAGTAGAAGTTAGACTGTAGGCATCTTGTTTCCACAAAGAATAAAAGATGCTTGGAAAGACGCCGATTTGATTTTTGAGCTGAAAGGAGCTCGTATACAAGAGTTACAGCTGGCTAAAACTAGTGACAGAAGACAGATTACTCCTGAAGTCAAGACAGAAAAATGTTTAGTTGGTAATCGATAAACAGAAAGATACACATTAAAAAATAAAACTATTGGAAAATAAAATTCTGATGTAGGCGGTTTAATCAGATGACTAAAGAATAATCAGCTAAATACCTGTTGATTCTTTAGAGTTTGCCAGTGAAAAATATAAACATTGGTCCAATTAACCACAGGACTGATTAATCAAATGACCAACTAATCCAACGCTTGGCCTGGCAGGCGACCAAGCAAGGCCTGCCAGGCTTCTAAAGCACTGGAGGAAACCATAAACATAACAACCAAAAATTTTAAAAAGCACCATTTAGATCATGACTTCTACCAAGACCCTAACAATTGGTAGAAAACACTATTTTGGTTGACCCCTTTCTAACTTGTCAAACTTTCTCCCCATTAGTTGGACATTTGTCTGCTAACGGAAAGAGCAGGTTACTTTTGACAAACACAACCTGCCTACCACTAAAACCAATGGGTTACCCATATAAAACCATTCATAAAGGGACACAGTGATTCAGACCACAGTAATGAGGTAGGAAGGAAGCAAGTTAGGAAAATAGAATCTGGCAGGAACAAACAACTCTGAAAGAACAATGACATGGTTGGCCTAATCAAAGGCTGTTCTCAAAAGAGGGAATCTACTCAACTTTATCCCATTACACTAAATATGTCTCTGATTTGTTGTAAAATACAAAAGATAGGTGGAAAGTAACCATTTAGAAAAATTGAAATGGTCTTTTTTTATTGAAAGTCTAAAAATAAGTACATGCAAGCATTTCAGGCCATTTTTGTTGTGTTTAGGAGGCGCTTGGACCGACAAATGGAGACCGCGATTTACTTTGAGGTCGAGGATGGCCGTCAGCCAGTAGGTTCACCTTTGGCTCGATGATCTCAACTCCACAGCAAAGAAAACCATAAAGAGCACTGCAGGCCAAGTCCACGAGGACAAAAGCATATACATAAAGAACCTTCTTCATTTGACCCATTTACTTAAAACAGCACAGTGAAATTTCTCCCTAGCAACAGGTGACGGTGAAAGTGCCTTTGTTTATTCGCCACGCAGGACTTGTATAACAGTTTTTGCTGTCATCTTCATTCAGAGACGTTACCATCATGACTAACTCTTACTGGCAGAGAGGAGAAACTGTAATACAGTTAGGACTGATAGAAGCAGGCTGCTGTAATGAGTTTTGGAGGAGGGTGTGTGGGATTGTGGAGGAGTTTGTAAGAAGCTAATCAGCTGCTCCAGCTGTGGCCCAGGCTTCGACTGGTGCAGGCAGGGGGCAGGGAAGAAGATCCTTGCTTGTGTTGGCTGCGAATCAGTTTAATGTGGCAAAATGCTGTGGGAATAATGACATATCCCTGTCCTATCATTGAATCGCAGGTAAATAAGGTTCACCCGACACCCCCAGCTCACTTGGTTTAAACTAAGAAGGAATGAGAAACGAGATGATGATGTGATGCAGGAACAGAAACTAGAGCTGTGCTCAGTCTGAGGTGTGCAAAGCTTAAAGAGACACTTTGTAGTTTTTATCATTATTCTTTGGAAATATCTATCGAAATGTTGCTGAAAAAGAATGAAATGATGCCCTGGTGTTGAAAAATATTGGTGGCTTCTTAACATACAACCATAAAAATTGGGTCTAAAATCCACGGCAGCGGGTCTAAGTCTGGGCGACGCTATTTTAGACGCCATGTTTCCTTCTACATGAGCCCATGAGGACAAAACACTTTAACTGATTCGTAACAAATGGTTACAAAACTTTCACCATTCATAAATGTTGTTTTACACATTTACCTCTTCACTTGTTGTCAGCGCTGAAAGGAAGTCTCATGTGCTTTTCATTTTGCTGGATGTTGAACCATCTGACAAAATACTTGTTTCAAACCTGCACTTTATTTTCGACCCTAATGACCATCTGTTGGTAAGGTCTTACTCAAACACAAAAATACTGATTGCTTGCAATGATTCAGGTATGTACTGCCCCCTATTGCCAGGGAAAATACACACTATCCCTTTAAGGTTTGTGTTACCTGCTTACCAAAGATATTATTGTATGCATTGTGCGCCCACGATTTATTGTGATCCATTTAAATTATCGGTAATATCTTGAACCATGAAAGTAACCAACATGAGTTTGGGCAAATAAGAGCGTTATTTGAACTAATTGTGTGTACTTTTCTTTTGTTTGAGTAAAGATAAAATAAATCCTTGGGTATTTAGTCTCGACACCAGTGCTTCCATCAAATCTTCCCTGACTGGACAGCAAGGACCAGTGCAATGCCTTGGTTAATATTCCTTTACTTTTGCTGAGGTTATCTGTCCATCCGCCATCCAATATATGTTGCACCTGGTCTTAAGACAAAAAACCTTCATTTATTGTCAGTTTCTTTTATGTGTTAGTTGTAGGGATGGGTACCTTTGACATTGGAATCGATTCGGTACTAATTCCCGGTACCTACGAATCGATACCGGTACTTAACGGTACCAATTTTAGATACTTTTGAGTGTTTAATATTTTTAATTCTCTTTTATAATTAAATATATATTCTTCTCAATATATAACCATATTTGATAAATATCACGATAAATAACATACAACTGTTTGTATTTTAACATCGTCCTTGTAGTTTTATAAGCTGATAATTAAACTGAAGCAAACATCTTTAATGTGAACTAAATTTACTGTGTATCTTCATTCCTTTTACCATCCTTTTTCAATTGATTTTTCCTACTGGGAAGTTAGAATTTCCGAGGAGAAAGCGAACGCACCATTAGATGATAACAATGGTGGCATGGGAAGCTAACATACCAAGCTAACGTTATCTTAAACAGTTTATTTAGCTGCCGGAGCACATTAAAACGACGATGCCTCACACTTAAATCGTTGTCACTGGTTTCATCTTCACCCAATCAGCCGTCGCATTTAGTAAAGTGAAACCAAACTTTAGAGCGCGTTCATGTTCCTCTAGTCGGAATTTCGGAGTTCCGAGGAGAAAGCGAACGCACCATTAGTGAAACGGAAGCTAACAAATCAAGCTAACGTTATCTTAAACATTTTATTTACCTACCGGAGCTGCTCTGTTTACAACTCGCTCGCAGCGACCAACGACATAACGCTCTTGCGCATGCGCAGCTGTCTAGGCAAGTTCTCGTAATGAAGGACGGGTACCGAAACGAGGCACCGTTTCAAATGAAGTGAATCGGTGCTCGGTCGGTACTGTGGAATTCGGTCGGTACCTTAAAAAGTACAGAATTCGGTACCCATCCCTAGTTAGTTGCCTAGATTTGTGGATGGTTGGCTGTGTGTCAGCCTGGCTGGTTGAGTGGCTGCTGTTGTTTAGTCAACTGGGTAAATGGGTGTTTGCTTTGCTTGTTGATTAGTTGTCTGGTCAGTTGGGTGTGTGTTCGGTTGATTTGTTGGTTGGTTGGGTGGATAGCTAGACGTTTTGTTTGAGTGTTTGTCTTGGTTATTAGTCGGATGGTTGTTTGGTTAATTGGTTGATTGTTGAGTAAGCAGTAAGCAGTTTAACCATCAAAGAGATGAAATAACTTTGATAAAAGTTGAAAAAAAAGTTTCCACAGATTAGCTGTAATCAGCATGAGGACCTGTTTGCAGATAAAACATGCTTTGGGCCCAAGTATTTGTTTAGTTTATGTTACAGTATTGTAAAAAATCAGTACGAGGAGGACTGTGTCGGATCTAAATCCCCGAAGACCCGAAGAAAGGAAGGAGGGAGGTTAGTCACAATGAGAGCCTCATTCAGAGTCAACCGGCAGCAGAAGTTGAGCCACAAACTAAAGGATTAAAGCTCATAGTGAATGACAAAAAGTGAGGTTAAGAGCTACTTCTGAGCTGTGTCACATTAGTTTAGAAATAAACACACCCTGATCTCTTGCATAACCCAACATTACAAGCATATTACGTAGTTGTGCAAAGACTGTTAAAACCGTGCACCACCTTGAGTGGTCAGTGGAGGAAAACGCGACCACAGCAACACGATACGAACACGTTTACATAAACAAAGCATCACAGGAAAAGAAGCTGAACTTTAGCTCGTTCTTTTCATGTTGAAATCCCTTCTAAGAATAACGCTGTGGTTGTTTTGAATGAGCTGCCAAATCTAACTGGTTTTGTGAGTTTTGTTTTAGACAAAGAGTGAGGACTTATCCAAAACCTCGGCCAACAGTCCAATAAAATGAACAACCAGCCAGTCACCCAGCGAGCTCAGATGCCACCAGGCAAATCTTCTCTCCGATTTAATCAGGCAGAAGCTGCTGCTGCCGAGGAGGAGCTAAATATAGCTCCTTTTATAATCAAACACAGGAGGGATGGTGCTGCTTCAAACTGAGCCAGTTGCTTATTATTCACCTCCACCAGGAAGTTCACCTATGACTAAATAACTCGTTCGTGGAGAGGCACAGACCTTTGCTGCCAAAGATTTGCATCATACAGCTGCGTGTCGAGCTTTCGATCCAACCAGGAGATGTCAGATACAAACAAAACCAACCGAGGAAGGTGCACATATATGAAACAACAGCGAGGTGTAAGTTAAGCAATAAAATGATTTTTTTAAAAAGAGATGTCGTCAACATAAGATACAAACAACCCAATGCAAATTGGATGAAATGACAC